AAAAAACAGAGCTTTCCTGGGTTTCTTTAATTTTTACAAACACCTGGGAAGGAGAGAAACAACCTTTTGTTTTAAACTGCTCTATACTTCTATATTGTGTAGTTACTGATAGTGCGAAGAGGATGTGTACAGTTGCCGTGCTGAAACAGCAGCCTTTGATCTGCTCTTTGCCTTGATGTAAAGGACAGTGTATATAATACCGCCAGTGTGATAGCCTTCTGTGCCCATTCTGCTGATGCTCTTGCTGTGTTTTGGTGCAGTTACTTAACAAGGTCCAAAGACTTCCTAGGCAGAGAAATGGATAAATGAAGGAATAAATTTTGCTTCTGCCTGACAGACCCACATGAGAAAGGGTAAAACGAGTGGCATTCATCAGTGCTGACTTTTATGTGACTGGTTCTCCCAAGAGAGAAAGGATCTTCAGCATGGGTCCTTCCAGCCAAGGACAAAAGCCTGCTGGCAGCTTATGGAAGACTAAGCTCTCAGGAGTGTGCCAAACAGTTGTCTTTGGTCGCTCCTCTGGGGTGTACAGTTAGGAGCTGTTTACATCTTTGCTCTTGGAAAGGCTGCTGCATGGCAGAAAGGCTGGAGATACTCCTGAGAGTTTGGGTTCTGGTTCTTTCTGCACAAAGAGAAGAACATGTATTAAAGGTGTGAGTACTCAGGAGTGTGTGTGGCAGGGATTGAGGCTGGGAACTTGGAGGGCATCGTCATGAAAACAAGTGTAAGACAGTGAGGTTTAGAGTGGTTCCCTGCTCTGGGCACTCCTGTGTAGAGTCGGGGCTTCATGCTCAGGTTCTGCTTAGTGTTCCCAGTCTGTGGCATGCTGCCAGCTTTGATTGTTTCTGGATCAAGACTGATGGATGTGTAAACACAACTGTGTGATGAATAAAGGAGTGATCAAGCAGAATCATGTGATTTGGGAAGATGTCAGACTGATGCTGCCCGTAGTAAGAGAAGAAATGGAAAAATAGTGTCATGGGCATCTTTTGTGCCCAGGCACTTGGGTGGGCTGGAATTGCTGGGGAACAGCAAAGCAATCACTTCTTGCACTACTCTTAATGTTTTTGCAGGTAGGCAGGCCTGTGTTTCTGTGCCAGACCAAGATGCCATCATAGCCCAGTGAACAGAGCACAGGTGGATTTTCAGGACACCTTGCAGTTATACTACTACCATGACATCGCTGAAGAGTGGGCTTGCTTCCTCTCTATCCCCGCTGTAAGGGAAAGTGGGAGACTGGTTTGAAGGATTTTCTCTTTGCAGCACCCACTGCAGCATTAGTATTTAGGTACAATCAGATGCTGACTGCAAATCTGAGAGCCTCTGCTGCAAGAAGTTCAGTATAGAGAGAAGTAAAATCTTCCAGGCTGTAATAAACCAAAGCATATAAGATTTGTTCTCAAACCAGTTGGAAGGTGAAGGAGGCCCCCCCCCTTCCCTCTTACCTTGGTATTTGCTGTATTGTTAATGTGCAACCCTTGCATAACCACTTCCTTAATCATTGTCGAAAGAATAAAGCGGGGATTTTTATGTACTGGGTCAACATGACCAAATAAGGAAAGGAACTGATCCACAATGCGGAGGAAGACTATGGCCTTCATCCTCATGACCACCAGAGGGACCAGGGCCGCCCAGCACTGTTTTGCCTGCTTCATCGCTTGCTTAAATAAATTCTATTGCTAATAAATTCACACTTGATTAATTAACAATTGGCTCCTCAATTTGGATTCATCACGGGAGGCGAGCATCTATAACAGGCTGAAAGGTTCTTTTCTCTTACACATGCAATTCCCAAGTTGCAAGCTGTTTCACTTACAAAGGTAACAGATCACTTCAGCTTTGTGTGCCCTTTGTGGTGAGTGGGGGGGTGTGTGTTGTCTCCAAAACAAAGCAAGAACAAAGTTGGTCTCTAGCCACTGTCAAACTAATATAAACCACCTTTGCCACCACCTGGATTTAGTGCGGGTCACAGCCTGGCTGGATTGGAGAATCTACATCTTTGTGACTGCAGTCCTTATGACAGTGCCAGCTGTTGATAATCTTTTTCTTTGCTTTCTGATTTGGTTTGCATCAGAAGTTCTGTAACCTCAAACTTCTGTGCAGAGGGATTTAGGTGTCTTGTATGGCTGCATGTTGTTGGAGAGGAATATTCTGGACTCAAAATGGCATTGTTTTCCTACTAAACCTGCTTTTTCGTGGAGCTTTGTGTTCATGTTTTCATCCCTGTCTGTTTACCCCTAAGCAGCTGCCCTGGACTGACCACACCAAGTGCCTCTGGCATCCCTGCCAGTCAGGAGAATTTGTAGGAGATTTCATCTGTAGTCTGCAAGCAAGCTGCAGTGCTCTTTTTCACTCTTGTGTTTCCTGTTGTGTAGCAAAGCACGGAATGTGTAACAAAGCTTAGGCTTAGAGCAGCAAACTGGAAGCTATTGTAAATGATTGCTTCTTGAATGCAGGAATAAGGAGAGATACTCATTTAAAAAAAAAGCAAAAAAAAAAACCAACCAAAAATGTACCCCAAACCAAAAACCGTATGTGAACTGTGCTTACCAGTTACTGAGAGAATGCAAGTGTCTTAAACTCAAACCAGTTCAACATTATAACTAAAATGCCTGATGGTGCTAATTTTGAGTGTGAGACTGTACAACACTTACAATAGCATCCACATAAGCCATCCCTAGCCTGCAGCCCTCATCCCTGGCTGAGGGTTACCAATCCTCTTAACTGTGGTGGAGCTACGAGTTCTAGTTATTTGTAATGTGAGTGTCCATGAGAAAGACACTGACCTTGCATCTTGTGAGGCCTTAACAGATCAGTTCAGTTAAATTTTTTTCTTTAATTGCAAATGGCATTAAAACTTTCATTAGTCCTCATACTTTTCTTGGAAGAAGAGTGATTCTCCTGCTTGATAATTACTAAAATTCCAAATAAAATTAGACTTCAGATTTGTTGCTAACTGAGGTTATGCTTTATTCAATAATTTCATAACACATTAGAGGACTGGAAAAAGCAATTGTTTAAAAATAAGTTTATCACTCCTATTGTGTTATGTTTCACTTCTGACTGTCAAGAGGCATGCTGGCAGGAATTAAAACTCATATTTGCTTTTCAAACAAGAAGACTTTGTATAAAAAGTCCTGGATCCATTGAGGGGATGTGGAGTAGGGAAACTCCAAGGTATGTTTAATACATACCTTGCATTTAGAAGTAATTTGTTTTAACCTTCTTCTCTCTATAGTTAGTTCTCATAAGATTTTAGAAATCAAGATTATTTTTTCCTTCCTGACCTCACTTAATTGAAGGAGAGAAGATAGTAACTAAAACCGGTCCTGTCTGAGCAAGCTAATGCTGTGAATAAAAAGGCCTTACTTCTGTGCACCAGCAGAAAAAGTTACTGCTTACAAAAAACCCAACCAAACAAGACAAACAAAAGCAACTACTCTGGCATTTCAGCACTTGGGTAGATTTGTGATTTTAACTTAACTTTTTGCTCGTAAACGTGTTGTTTAGGTTTTGCTTAACAGATTACCTTCTAATTAACTGTCTTAATACTTCTTTTGTGCAAGAGGGATATTTGAGCAAAATGCAGACCCCACAGGGTCCTGTTTTCCATGAGTGGAGATCAAGACCACCGTAAGTCACTGGCAGCCTAAGACCAGCCTAAGTCACTGGAAGTCAAGGAAGTGTTGGGCTGGGCACCAGCAAAAACTTTACCCCAAGAGGGAGTGAGTGCAGGCTATCGAAGTAGTAGCACTGGGGTTTCAGCAAATTTGTTTCTCAAAGGACCCGTAAGGAAGGAAATAGGTGGTGTTGATCAGTTCAGCTCCTGTTCCAGGAAGGGATAACCTCGGTGAGTCCTTAAGTGCTGAATGTTAACTAGGAAGATTAAAAGATGGCAAGAAATATGACCTTGGCTTGTTGGAGCATCTCTCTTTAAACTTTCAATCTTTTTGTATAAGCAACGGAATATCGCTCTTTTTTTGTGAAAAATTAACTGATAAGGGTGGACTTGCATTGCTCTGTCATTTTATTCTATTATTTGTAGTAGTATTCTATCTTCTGATATGCTTAGTTATCTAACAGTGACTGAGAAATATTTCCAGCAAACCTGACTAAAATGTGCCTTGATATTAGTCAAATCAGTCTGGTGTCTAGTTGGAAACACATGTAAATCTGCTTGGGCACTCCCCATCTCTGTCTCAACCCTTTCTACGTAAGAAAAAACCATGGAATAACTACCCCAAACTTCCCCTGCTCCTACCACCAACTTCACTTTCAGAGGGTTTTTTACTTGCTTCCCTTCTCTCCAGCTCTCGAGATAAACGAGCATCTGCCCATTGAACAGCCTTGCTCCGTGCCGTATCAGGTGCTTCGAGGGCTCCTGCCCTTGCAGATCCAAGGAGGGGAAGCTGGCCTTACAAACTGTGAGCTCCCCGGCACCTCGGAAAGCCCCCTTTCAGCTTTGCTTCTCCGCGTCCGTGGGGGAGTTTGGCCAGACCCCACCCGGTTTGCAGGAGCAGC